TTGGCAGTTCTTAATCGACATATGATAGTTTGAATTGGATGGGTTCCTTCGATTTCTTAAAATTTGAGAAAAATATCAGACTGTCGGTCATTTAGTGAGTTGGAAACCGTGACCGGCAGTCGATCCAAAAAAATTTTAAGTGTCACAAACCATGGTCTCGCTCTCTGAGCCGAGCGTAAACCAAGCGTTAAACTTGCGATCTATGCAGCTCTTCTGGATCGCTTGGCCGTTCTTAATCGACATATGTTAGTTTGAATTGGATGGGTTACTTCGATTCCTTAAAGTTTGAGAAAACTATCAGACTGCCGGTCATTTAGTGATTCTAAAACCTTGACCGGCTGCCGGTCATTTAGCCACAGCGAAACAGATATTTTTGCTGTCCTGCGCTTTGAAAAAACTTTCTAACGAGATATTTTTCGCTTAATCTGTTCGGTACTTTTCGAGGAACGACTTCATGTCAATCAGTCAACAACAACTTCGCCAACCATTTTGACTTCACCTTCGTCCCCTACTCAGTAGAAATTTGTCACAAAATACGTCATTTTCTATCGATTTCGGCTACGATTGTCGCAGCATTTTAAAACATGTTTTAAAATCCTACGACATTATTTTTGATGTATACAAAAGTCGTAAGCCAGTTGAAGGTTTGATGTACACGAAACAATTTATGTCGTAAGCCTGTCGTAAGCTTGTCGCATGCGACAAAGTCGTACCGTGTAAATCCGCCCTAGGAAATTTACAGCTCGTTTTTAGATGAGATTTTACTGTCACGCCAGTAAAATATAGTTGATGGAGCATAACGTACGTTCTCAATGAGCCGTTCATGGCGGCATCACTTTCTATGGCGCTATTGAGCAGTTGTATTTCAAAGGTCAGCAAACTGTAAGCTTTATTGTAGCTAAACCTAAAACATTGTCGCTTTGTTACCTTCAGAACGTTATAACGCACCATAGCATTGGTGCAAAGCAATAAAGCACTATTCATGTTTAAGATGTTACACGTGCTAGGGTAAGCTGTTCGGTAATACAGCCTTTTCTACTGGCTTACCAGCAGACCAACGTCTCCATATAAAAGCTCGGACAACTGTTCAGAGTCCATTTTGAGTTCGTCTAAGCAACGTAGCTAT